TCCTGAAAAATCAATACCATTCCAATTCACAAACAACAGACACACTGAAAAACAAATTAGGGAAAACATACCTTTCACAGTACCATCCAAAAAACTGAGATACTTAGGAATCAATTTAACAAAAGAAGAAAAGATCTATACAGTGAAAATTACAGTAGTAATTTTGGAAAAGAAATTGAAGAGGATTTCAGAAAATGGAAAGTTATTCCTTGCTCATGGATAGGAACAATCAACATTGTGAAAATGGCCATACCCCCAAGATTATTATACAGATTCAATGCAATCCCAATCAAAATACCATTAGTATACCTCACAGATCTAGAGAAAATATTCCTAAAATTCATCTGGAACCAGAAGAGACACAGAATAGAAAAAGCAGTCCTGGACAACAAAGGCAAGGCGAAAGGCACCACAACCCCTGATTTGAAATTATACCATGAAGCTACTATAATAAAACCAGCATGGTATTGGCCAAAAAAACTGACCTGAAGATCAATGGAACAGACTAGAAGATGCAGACACAACCACAAAGACACTCAGCCACCTTATCTTTGACAAAGGGGCCAAACATGCTCACTGGAAGAAAGACAGCCTCTTTAAGAAGTGGTGCTGGAAAAACTGGCTTTCCACAGGCCAAAGATTAAAACTAGACCTGAGGGTGGGGAGGGCAGAAGATCTGGGTTCCCAGGCAGATCACTGAGGAAAAACAAAATTTATATGTATATATAAGAATAGCTGGAATAGGTGTATTGGTGATGTCTGTGGTTTAATGAAAGGAACATTCAATGCTTAAAATTTTCTTTGTACTTGACCACTTTTGGGTGCTTGAATTTGGTAATCAGAATGACTGATCTGAGAACAAAAATATAGAGTATAAGGACCATTGTTGAACTCCTACCATCTTGTAAGGTGAAGCTCTACATCATTTCCAATTTTTTTTTAATTATTATTACTTGTTACTGTTTCTCATTGTTTGATCAATCCTTATGTCTGGTGAACTGAGCAACTTCGTTGAAGATAACAGTATGTAATATAGCAACGATTATTAACTCCTATCATTTTGTTTTGAGGTCATGTATTGTTTTTGTTGTTTTTGTGTTGTTTTGATTTTGTCTTCATTGTTGTTTTGTTAGTTTTTTAATTTTTAAAATAAAAAAAGCTCTGCCAATCATCTATGCATTAGTAATGCCGGAGCAAAGTTTAGTGTGGGGCAAGGAAGCTGGAATCACAGTTTATTTATTGCTATTATTTTCATTCAATTGGAAATACACTTTTTGCCATATAGAAGGCAAGCAAAATGTGAAGTGACTTCTCCACAAAAATGAATAAATAAATATAATTTTAAAAACTCAGTATGGAATTTGTTTAATGAACTCAAATCTTAAAACCCTAAATATTTATTCCATAAGGAGCTACCTATCTTGAAGGCCACTGACGTAAATTACCACATTTTTCTAAAACATTCAGCAAACCTGTTCAGTTTTGTTAAGTTTCTCTCTCTGTTTCTTTTTTATTTTAAAGAGAGTAGTACATGAGAAACAAACAAACAAAAAATAGAACAGTAGCAGCATACCAGTATCACGAACATAAACAAATCAAAGCAAAAACATTCAAAGTGATACAGGGTCTCAAGACAAATTAATACAAATCAACAGTGGTTGTTACATTGCATATCATTATCCTCAGCTGCATTTCTCAGATTATCAGTTGTAAGAATGAAAGATTGCTCAAACCATTAAAGAGAATAAGAAAATAATTCTTCAATAAAACCTTAGAGATAATACAGAGTTTCACTAGACAAGATGGTAGGAGTTCACCATTGTAATTCCACTGCATATTGTTACTTTCAGATCAGTTGCTCAGACCACCAGACACAAGTATGCAAAGTCAATCAGAACATAAAAAATTGTGAGTGTTAACTATTCATTTCAATACACCATCAGACAACAGCAATACAATCATCACAGTTATTCATATATATATTTATGTTTTGCCTTCCTTCTTTCTTTTTTCTTCTTTCCCTCATCCCAGTTGTTCCTTCCTTCAAGCAATTTCTTCCCTTTCCTATCATCTCCTGTATGTTTTGAGTTTTACCTAATCTTTAAGGTTCCTACACCAAGGAGACAATATGATGTTTACATGTGTGGTTCCGATTTATTTCACTTATGAGTATGGTCTCTAGTTGCATCCATTTACCTGCAAAAGCCTCAAGTTTATCTTTTTTAATAGCTGAGTAATACTCCATTGTATAAAAATACCACAACTTTTTTATCCATTCCTCAGTGGATGGGCATCTGGGTTGTTTCCAAGATTTAGCTATAACAAATTGTGTTGCTATGAACATAGGTGCACATATGTCGTTGTGATATGATGTCTTTAATTCTTCTGGGAAAATACCCAGAAGGGGAATAGCTGGGTTAAATGGGACTTCCAATCCTAGTTTTGTGAGGAATCTCCAAATTGATTTCCACAGTGGTTTCACCAATCTACACTCCCACCAGCAGTGGAGTAGGGTTCCTTTCTCCCCACAGCCTCTCCGGCATTTGTTATTGATTGATTTCTTGATGATAGCCATTCTTCCTGGGGTGAGATGGAATCTCAGTGTTGTTTCAATTTGCATTTCGTGAATGACTAATGACGTTGAAAAGAGGCCTCTGACTCATGGTGGATTGAGAAGTAATCGACAAGGAAATTATTAAGTCTAACAAATATGGCTACTAGGATTGTTTTCTTGAACCTATTAACTTACCCAAACTGATACACTTCTGGAAGTATAGTGTGCCCAAAGAAAGCACTTAACAAAAATTTGACCTATTAAAGCTTCTGGATTCATACATATTTGTGTAAGAGTATATTGCAAACTCTAAAGCATTTAGTAAGTATATTATTAACAAAATAAAAATATTAAGAGTCACGTAATTCAGGGTTTCCATTGTGTTTGTGCTTTAGAATAGAAACTGAAAAGGAATAGAGAAGGAAAAAATCTTAAATTAGTTTTTTTAGCAGTGGTCAGTGTTACAGGATCATAGAACTTTTTTCACTATTCTAATATCCACCTTTATTAATAATAGTACAGATATATAAGAAAAAGTAAAGCATAACACACAATAAACAATTTAAAAGACATAACAAATCTAAATTCTGACCTTGTTTTGTTTCTGTTTTTCCTTTTCCTTAATGTGCTTTTATTCAATTTGGCTTAGCTACTTTAAAGATCGCATTACTCTTGTCAGAAGCAGTGTTTCAGAATTCAGCTGGGTCACAGGAACTTTCTCACCACTCTATTCTAATTTGCAGTTTTGCTATAATAAAAGCCTTAAATATATTGCTACTGTCTAGACGTTTTATCTGAAACAAGTGTCCTTTGTAGTCTCAGAGGACTTTTCTATTTTATTTCCAGTAAATCAAAGTCTGTGAAGAGCCTCAGTTCTTATTAAGACATACCCTTCACAGTCCGCTGGTTGCCAACTGTGGCAAGCCATTGACAGTTCATTTACATATAAGTGATGACTTCAATCAGGTAGTTGGCTCAAAAACACAATGGACACTTAGAGCATATCCAATATTTCTTGTTCTTTGATGAGCACCAAGTGCCAATTTTTATAGAGAAACTGACTATTGAAAAGTGAAGGTTTCTTTTCCCTGACCTTAGCCTGTCTTCTACAGCTCTAGAGTGACATATTGTCAGTGAATTTAATGTGAGATTACACCTCTAAAAGACATTCAGTAGCTCAACTTCATTTTACTAAAAATCAAGACTAGTCAAATGTAGGAAACGTGAGAAAAGAACAATCACATTTTATTAAAGAAAAGATGAAATTTTTATCCTGCTCTAAGCTGTCATAATTGTAATTTACTATTTTTTTATTTTTGCAAATTAAGTTTGACTTTATATTATATTCTCATATATTTACCATTTAGGATAATGATCATGAATCTCATTAAGATATTCTTATTAAGTACCTTTATTAAGTAACCACATGCATTTATTCCCAAGTTGTTGATATAGTAGTGGTAAAATCTAGCCAAAGTTTTAGCCTGATAATACTGTCACTATATTGATATTCAAATCAAGTGTAACTTTTTCTTCTTTTGTTTAATTGTAAATTTCCACCTTTTTTGAGGTTTAAGTAAAGAAAAATGAAAGTTTTGGGGTGATACTCTCCCAACCATTAATAAGGAGAATAAATACAAACCCAGTTTCATAGTAAACTACTGAGCTTAATACTCACTGTTTTTTCCCTATTGAAAGTTTTATCAATCAAATTTTTCACTTAGCCTTCATCATACTTTTAGTCCATCTAGGTTAAACCTGGACTTAATGTGGTTCTTGTAACTGGCTTTTCGGAAGATACATTTCAATAACTTCCAAATATATTCTTCACAGTAAACTCTATTGCACATAAGCAGCCTGAAAGAAGTTATTTGATCATTTGTTTGTTTGAAGAATAAGAAGTAATAAACCAGTGTAAAGTGTCTGAATAAACTAGAACACCTGTCACATAGTGCCCACATTTAGTCATATCTAGTATTTAAACTATGAGTATATTCTGTTCCTTCAACCACTGGTCCTCACTGGTTTCTCTAGTGCTACTCACAAGTATGTAGAAGAAGGAAGGATGGGTGGAAGGATGGATGATGGATGATGGATGGATGGATGGACGGATGGTGGATGTATATATAAAATAAATTCAAGACTCTTAAGGCACTGATGTTAGTGACTAGGCTTCATATTATCTAAAACTAACACAAATAAAATCAGAAATATTGTATATGGATTCTCAATTTTTCCCTTTAGAATGAGCAGTGAGTAATATTACACTTTTAAAAATTATTTCCAAAAGCTATGTGATGAAGTATATTTCTGAAATCAAAATCTTGACCATATATGACTTCAACAAAACATCACACTAGTATTGTTTATAAGAATAAAAGACATGAACCCAATGGTACTTAATATCAGTACCGTGAGTTTTAGAAATAAAAATTCTAAAGAGTCTTTAAGGCCTTTATTGGTACTGGAACAAATCAGATTTTAGTTTAATGAAAGCAATGCTTCACAACATGTAAGTTCATGTCATTACAGTAAACAGATGTCTTTATGTATAAGATACAAATGAAAGATGTTCGTCCAAAGATATTTAGAAATTATGGATTAGCTTGTCAAAGTTCTTTACACATATAAAGATGTTTGTTCTTTCTCTCTTGATACTATATTGATCTTCAGCCATTAGTAACCTGCCTTTTGGGGTAGACAGATTCAACTATTAAAAGTAAAATATTGTATTGAAAACCTTATTGAACTCCTCATGCTTTATAGTACTGTCTCAATTTTCTTTCTCTTATGGATCTGGCCACCAACTTCCCAACAATCCGGATGTTAGCTCTTTTGAGTATTGGATGTCCACTCACTATAATACAAAATACAAATCACATTAATAAATGTCTAGTTAGCAGCATAGAAACATATTATGTTTTTTAAATACTATACTATTTTAAAAATTCATTATAGTTGTACTGCAACATGCTAAAAATTTGGTTTCTGCATAATTTCAAGTTTATTGTATTACCTTTGTATCATGCTAAGAGACTCTGAAAGTTATTGTTGGACCAAAGAGCTGAGGGAAGGGATAACACAAGTGGGTTTCACTAATATATAGAATATATGAAATCAATTAAATGGAACATATGTTTGATCATAAGAACAATGGCATTTAAATTGTTTACAATATAATACTAGTTCTGACACTGATATCTGAATCAGCACAAATGACCATTTGCATAGAATGTTTTATTAGGTTCATTTCATTTATAAGTGATTTTCTAAATAAGGCATAAAAAGCATACTTTGAGTGTTTATACCATATAAAGAATGATACTTTACAGATAGGGTAGTGTATTTTTGCTTTATAGGTCTGATCGCTGTTATTCAAAACATAACTGACCACCAAAAGCAGTTAAAGTTATGAGAACAATTCACATTATATAAGGAAATGGATGATTTGGTGTGATCTAAGAGAGAAGGTGTTTCTGTTGTGTTTGTATTCCCCTGTGATGTTGTTAGATAAACAGCAGGTCCTCATGAGAGAAAAATTAACTTAGGCCAAATATCAAAGCACCTGAATAGACATCATTTCAAAAAAATTCGAATAGCTAATAGCTACAGGAAAAAGTTGCTCAGTTTCTTGAATCTGCAGGGAAATGCAAATCTAAAGCACCACGAGACATCACCTCACACTTGTAAGAGTGGCTCTTATCAAAGAGTCTAGAAATCAATATTGGTGCAGGTGTAGAGCACAAGGAAACCTTGGGCACTGCTCATGGATATGTAGAAAAAGAATGCAGGGTGCTAAAGACATTAAAAATAGCACTACCATAGGAGCCAGCAGTCTCTCTTCTGAGCACACATACAAAGGACTTTGAGCCATCACCACATGAAGACATTTCCACTCTCATGTTCATTACACCACTGTTCACAGCAGCCAGGGTATGAGAACAGATAAGAGACGAACACACACACACACACACACACACACACACACACACACACACACTGTTATGGTTGAAAAATTGTGTCAACTTGAATCTAGAGCCTTGACTAAGTAACTCAGCAGTTCTACATCTTGGGGTGAAAAGGACATGCCCTTCCTTCTCTAGGATGTTGTTCATTGTGTCAACTTGAGAAGTTTAGAAGGTTAACTGTGTAACTCAGGAGGGAGCCAGTGTACTTACTTTGTATTCATCCTGAGACTGGAAGAGGAGGGCACTGAGACGGTGTGGGAGGTGGGTGGATACAGGCATACAGTATAAGTAGGGGAGAGAGGCTGCCCACCTTTTAAGCTCTTGCTGCTTTTGCTGTCTTATGCTGCTTTGAAGTGTTGCCCCTGTGCCCTGTCACCCTGCATTGGAGCCAGTGATTATAGACTGTAACTTCCATGAACTGTAAGGTAAACAAACCTTTCCATCCTTAATTTTGGGTATTGGGTATTTTGTCTCAGCAATGAGAGAAAAGTAACCAAGACACATGCATGCACTGGAATATTATTATGCACTTGTAAAGGAGATCCTGCCATTTAGCACAACATTATATCATATGAAGGAAGCCAGAAACTGCAGGACATTATGCTATGTAAAAAAAGCCAGACAGAGAAAGAAAAATACTGTATAATTTCACTCATATGTGGAATCTAAGAAACAAAGTTTAAGTATAGAGAGAAAGATAATAAAATAGTGGTTACCAGGGTTATGAGAGTTATGGAATGAGGGTTTGCTCTGTGATTATAAGTGGCAGAAATGTAGGATGAGTAAGTATAGAGCTATAACATGTATCATAAGGAATACAATGGGTAAAATGTTGCACTTGGGACCCCTGACAAATGAGTGAACTTCATCTGCGCTTGACAGAAAAACAAAAGTTGCCTAACTATGTGAGATAACTGGCCTGTCAATTTGCTTCACTATAATAACCATTTTATAATTTATATGTACTTCATAATATGTTGTACTGTAACAACAAGCAGAAACACCAAAATGACACCCAGGATTGGGAGGCAGATTTGTTTATGTCAACAGGCACCAATTGGGATCACTCCCAGAATATCAGGCCCTGATCTCTGGTGGTGTAGGGTTTATATAGGATAAGCAAGCAGGAAGTACAGAAGCAGAATGGCTTGTCAACTGGGGATTGATTTATACAATCATAGTGGACCAGCTATGCATCACTGTGACCAGCTGTTTCTAAGGGACAGAAGCAACCAGACATAGAACAGAAAAATTACATGGGCAACTAACAAACTGAAGTATACTGGCAGGGAGGGGGGCATTTTCTGCTACCATATACCTTAAGTATACATAATGAAATTTATTTTAAAAAATACATTAGTCCACATTAAGATAATAAATAATAAAATAATCACTATGAATACTTACTCTTATGTGATCAAATGAAAAGGCAAAACACCAACTGCTGTCCTAATTTATTAGAGCCATGTGATGTGGCTAACCATTATCTTATCGGCTCTTGAGATGAGATCTTCCCATGAAATATTTTCTTATTGGGAGTTTTTTGTTAATATGCAATGTAAAACCAGAGGTGGTAACACACGTATGTTACCCAAGCTACTCAGAAGTCTGAGATAGGAAGATCATGAGTTCAAGGCTAGGCTGGGCAATGCAGTAAGATTCTGTTTCAAAAAAGTTAACTGAATTTTCAATGCTGTGATATTTCATCAGGCAGAAGAGAGACAAAATACAGAAATTTTTCATGGAAAAGAAAGTAAAACAAAATTTCACAACAAGATGATAGGAGAATAACAATAATTAGTGCATTGCATAATATTATCTTTAAAGTAGTCATTCAGGGTACAAGATATGTGCCTAAAAAATTTTCCAATCAGTATTAGCACAAACTTTCCTTTTCTATGAAGTAAGAGACACTGAGTATAACTAACTTTCATGTTTTTTCCCTTTTCTGGTCCTTCCTTTTCCCTTTCTCCTATCCTAGTGCCTTTTTGCTTTTTAACAATTTCTTCCCATTTCACAATATCTATTGTACATTTTAGACTTTATTTACTCTTTCAATTTCTCATACCAGGGAGACAATACAATGTTTACACTTCTGAGTCAGATTTATTCCACTTATGAGTATGGTCTCAAGTTGCATCCATTTACCTATAGAAGTCTCAAGTTTATACTTCTTTGTGACTGAGCAGTATTCCATTGTATAAAAATGCTATTTTTTTAAATCCGTTCCTTTGTTGATGGACATTAGGGTTGTTTCCAGGATTTAGCTGTCATGAATTGTGCTGCTGTAAATATAGGTGCAGAAATTCTTAAGGTAGTTAAAACAGAATGGTGAACATAATGGTCCTAGCTCTTGTTCTTACACATTTGTGAATGAGTTTTAGCTTTAGCACTCAACCTCAGATTTCTTACTTTTGATATGAGCATAATATGTATCTAGTCTACTTGTTGAAAGGATCCAAAGATATGGATCAAAAGATAAATGCATACGAGTGCTTAATTAATATTGTCTCCTCAATTATAATGAATGTACCACATTAACACAAGCTGTTAATACAAGGAATCATGGGGGTATATGAGAACAATGTCATTTCCACTCTGTAAGTCAATATTTCTACAAGAACAAAATAATAGCAGTCTATTAATTACAATTAAGATATATATCTGACACTTTGTAACTATTAAAAATATAGTTGCTGTATTATTACCTTAACTATGATACTATAATATAGGTTTTTAAACAGAAGTTCAACAAATTGTTTAACAGATTATTTCATAAACACAAATTAGATAAAGGATTACTTCATTTTGGGAAAGAAAATATAAGCACACAGGATATATTTTTAATCTTTCCAAGTAAATATTTTTGACCTTCTTTTCTGTCAAATAGCAGAACAGACTCAGAAAACAATCCTTTTGATTGAAAGAAATCAAACCCTGAATAAAATATTAAATGTGTTTTAATTTCATTTCTAAGCTGGCAAAGCACAAAGAAAACACAGAGGCCAGAAACAAAGTGAAATCAGTAATCTTAGTAGATATATAAATGCCAAAGCTAGGTTTATTTTTTGTTCAATGTTTTCCGTTATGTCCTGGATATCAGAACTGCGATGAGGGAAGGAGAAACAAGAGAGGAAATGGAGTGTTCACGCAAATGCAGTGGAGTCCCTTGTACGGTCCCCAAATCCCTCAAATATGCACCTGCAGACCTTAATGTTAAGTGAAATAAATCAGACACACAAGTTTAAACAGCACATGGATTCTCTTACATGAAAAACCCAAAATATAAACAAAGGGAAAAATAAAAAACAATAACAGGAAGCAGGAAAATACATCATTCTAGATGGGAAGGGGGTCAAAAGACAAAGGGAGGGAGGAGAAAGAAAATGGATGAAAAAAATAATTAAGATATGTCCATGGAATTAACTCCCCATAGGAATGCAATCATTATGTACTGCAAGCTTGTACTAATAAAAGAAAGCAAAGAAAAGGAAAAAAATAAAGTTTGTTGGGCTCAAGATCAAGTGAAAAACATCTCTAGAGAAAAGAAATTTCAATCAAAGACTGTAAAATATGTCAGAGGCATATTTTAGGAAAGCCCAGCATGTGCAATGCATTTTAAAATGAAAAACAGGTCACAAAATAGTTTTTAAAAGTTATATGCATAGTAAATATGTAAAATTTTAATACTGAAATGTGAATACAATATTAATATTATAAAATTATATTAATATAAACTAGTAATAATACCAGAAGTATAATTTAGCTTTAGATTTTTTTACCCTATCCATATTTTCAACAGAAAGCATTATTTATTGGAAAATAATAATATTAGAGGTTTTCAGGTCTCTAAATTGAAATCTGTGGTAGAAAGTGATTTCCACTGTAG